ACCATAGCCCTTCACCAGTGTATATATTCTCTGTTTTCTTTTCACTTGAAGTGTCACTTTGTATTGCTGTCTTCTCTCTACTCCTCTGCAGGCTATGTTGGCGCTATATGTCTTGCACATTGCTGTATTCCATTGTCAGGGCTGGATACATGTGTTGCAGGGCTGTGTAGTATTTTCTGGGAGACCGCGATTCCCTTTGCTCTACATTCACATGAGTGTCACCTCTCCATTAGGATCAGACATGGGGAGATGTTTGGGTTGTGCTCTTTGTTGTCCTGTGTATCCTACAATGACATCCCTTGCTGTGTGTATGACTGATGTCTTGTTTTCAGCAGGTTTGCTCAGGGTAATGACCTATTTTGCACATCTTTGTGTTTTTCTTGGTTTATCTGCTCAGCTACTCTATTTGTTGAATGGAGACTCCACATTTTTATTTGCTGTCCTGTCTGTCTACACATGAGTCCTCCTGCAGTATGTTTGTTGGTGTTCCCCTATTCATTTCGCAGAGAAGGTGATGGCAGAATGCTGTTTCCTCTCTATTGTTCTTGGCGTGCTATGAACACATGGCAGAGCAGTCATTTACCACAACCATAATGTTTATTATAGGAGACCTACTCCTTATATCCATGTCACATATCTGACACTTGCTGATTCCATGTCAGTGGAGGAACCCCGGGGAATTCCTGTGACAAATGATTAGATCTAGCAGTGGTCCTCAGCCTGTATAACCTCAGGGCCCACATTTGTTCTTGGTCATTAAGTCATGACCCAAGTTTCACTGCACTCGAACACACAGCATTGCGTTACCATGCGTTCTGGTGCGGGCAATCAGACTGTAGGCAGGAGGTGTGTTTGGGGTGCTATTCAAATAAATGGAAATGCAGTGCACCCCCCTCACCAGAACGTGTGGTAGTTGCGATTGCGAGGTACAGTGCGTTATAATGTGGGACTGTGATTAACACACTCGGGCCTCAAAAACACTTTCAGGCGCACACATGACCACAGGCACAATCTCACACACTCGTAGACACTGCTTGTGTGACCTGTAGAGGTGCCAGGAGCCAGAATGTGACGTCACTCTGGTCCAGGCACCTCTACAGGGCACACCAGGGAGCTGTAAGCAATGCACCTATGGATGCAGCTCCCTCGTGGCCATACCCCCATGCTACCCAGCCTCAAGCTGACACCCGGTGCCAGGCAGCATATTTTGAATAAATACGACTATATAGTGTATTTGGGGTAATCTCTCATGCTAGGCTATTGTATTCTGACAGTGACTAGTGTGCAGCTATCAGAATTCCTGAACAGTGACTGCAGCTATTTGGCTGAAGTCACTATTCAGCCGGACCGGCCCCTTCAGTTGAAATATCAACTTATGTGGAAGAGTGGGGTGTTGATGGGGCCACACACTGGTTGAAAATCAGCAGAACCGGCACCCCAAATGCACCCTGTAAAAACGCGTTATAATCACGCACAACCGCGCAGGAAAAATCATGGAACACTCGCAGGTGAAAACGCTGCATGAGCTACTTTTCTGCGATTGTTGCACAGTGGGCATCCCATTGATTGAATGGGCTGACACGCAGCAACAGCAACAAAAATACTTGCAAACGCATGTTCCTGCACATTTACTCATTGCTAGGTGTGAATGGGGCCTTACTTTGGGGTCAGAAAGTAGCAGTGTAGAAGTTCTCCTCTTGCAGAAGTGATGACTGCTCAAGGAACCCAGGCAACCTCGAGGAAATGCAAGGTTGAGTTGTCACCAGAACAATAAGTAAGGTTAAATCTTCTGATAAGGACATCTCTTCTGGTGACAACTATATAAATGGTGAATTCTTCCTTTGGGTAGGTTGCCTCTCACTTCCTATTGAACTTTCACACATTTCTTCGACATGTGCGATTTCAAATGTTGTACACAGAAGGATTTTCTGTATCTTCCCATCCATGCATCATTCCTCCTGGTACTGCAGTAGCCGTACTGTGCTGTGGATGCATCCGGCCATGTGTTGTACAGTCTGAGTTGCAGAGGCAGCAGGCAGGATGATGCATTGGCACGCCTGCTTCAAATTGTGTGCAGTGTACTAAACAATTGTAATAGTCCCCCGAGAAAGGACAATGACAGCAAGAATTAACCTTATATGGGTTCTATACATCTCCACTCTGCTGAAATAAAAGTGTTTTTATTCTTATTTCTGTCCCAATCTGAGATATTTCCTTTCATTATTCATTCCTTTTATTCCCAGAGAACAAGGTTTAGGTTGGGATGCAGCACAGACAGTGGGCTCTGTCCCTTTTGTCATTTACAATACACATTGGCAGGGATTTATCAAAACTGGAGCAGACAAAATCTGGAGCGGTTGCCCATGCCAACCAATCAGCTTCTCTCTTCAGTTTGTTCAGCTAAGCTTTGAAAATGAAAGAGAGAAGCTGATTGGTTGCCATGCACAGCTGCTCCAGATTCTGACTGCTCCACTTTTGATAAATTGGGTTTGACTACTTGTCTAGAACTGCTGTGAGGCCAGGCTGTCATGGTGGTGTGCGTCGTCTTTTAACGCAGATGAAACGCAGGACAGTGAGTCTGCAGGAGACAGGGCCAGAGGAGGTGAGTATTATAGAGAGAGGTGCTTTTTTTTTTTTTTTAAATCAAAACCAAAAGTGATGTTGGGCCTCAAATTAAAAAAATAAGTTGAAAACTTTTAGTGTCCAATTACACTGATGCATGTTCATTGTCATATCTTTATTTTGTGTGTTTTCATGCACCACCATTGATATCTAAGCCTCCATTCACACCTAGGCCTCAGCGATTTTGCCTGTTTTTGCCTAGCTAGTTTTTTTGCACGTGTTGGGCCTGGGCACATGGAGACACGCATCTTAGCAGGCAGATTGGAAAACATTGAGGTCAATGGACAAACGTGTGTAAAAACACACAAAAAATGGGCACAGAAATTATTAAAACACTTTAATTCTGTTTTTCAGGCATTTCCATTCAAGTCTATGGGACCAAACATGCTGCAAACTGCCCCTAAGAAGCTCAGGAACTTTTTCCAGCGACAGGCGTTTTGCAGCTTGTGACAAAACACTCAGGCGTGAATGAGGGTCATTGAGATTAATGAGAATTCATGTTGTGAGTGACACACACGACAAAACACTTAGGTGTGAATGAGGGCTAAAAGTCCCTTGAAACACTGACATGTAAAAAAAACAAAAAACACAATGTTTTGTTAACTTTGTGCGTCAAAGGAAAACAAATGTCTAAATGAAGACTCTTCAGAAGATTGGTGTTTTCTGTGCAGACCAATAAAATGGAATGGTGGGAATGGGCCCTCGCTCTGCTTCATCTTATTGAATAGATTGACAGATATCACTGCCTTTGTGCATAGCAGTTATCAGACATCAACACCAGGCTACTTGTGGCTATTAAAAAAATTTATATGTAGGGTTTAGTGAGCAAAGGATGACATAGCTCAGACCTGGACAAATCTCACCCAGACCTAGAACTGTGAATATATAGTGGTATCTCGGTTCACGAACACTTCTGTTCGCGAACAGGAAGTTCAGCAAAATGTTGCTTCCATTCGCGAACTCCGCATCGGGTGACGAACACAACCACAGCCATCTTCCCTACTCTGACTCAGGTCATGGCTTCCTCTAGTCGCGATCGCGGTCAGATCACAGTCTGATTCGGTTCACGACCAATTCGGTTTGCAACCAGAATTGTGTAACGAATTAAAGGAGAACTATGAGGTCAGGGCTTTTCCCCATAGTTCTCCTTAGGGTAACGGGAGGACACAAACTAGCATCCTTCCGTCACCCTAGGCTCAGTATACCGCGAGCTGCTGCTCGCGGTATACTGAGACGCCACAGCTGAAGCGGATCCCGACAATTGTGACGGGATCCGCCCAGCTGCGTGAGTAAAAGCTGGCTCTGCCTATCTAGAGGCAGAGCCAGCTGTACCCGCCACCTCCCCCGTCTGTTCCGCCAGTCAGCGCTGGCGGATCGGGGAGGGGGGAATCTAGCCCCTCCCCTGTCACGGCAGAGAGACGTGACAGGATCGAGAGGGGAGCGAACACCGTTATATGTTCGCTCACCTCCGGATCTACTGAGCCGGCCTGTGACAGTTTCATTGTCACAGGTCGGCTAGAACTATGAGGTGAGTGAAAAGCACTCGCCTCATAGTTGTCCTTTTAAGTTTGTGATACCACTGTATAGAGCTGACCATACACGCGTTATGGTCGATTCATCAGTGGGTGGCCCTACTGGCTCAATAAAAGTCTCAATAATAAAATTTGCCCCAAAAATGTTCGGCCTAAGTCCCCATTCACACCA